TACCATAATCAGTTATATACCCTGATAGTAGAAAATAATTAGCTGATAATTGGCTGAGATAGCAGGTGATAATAGATTAGATCACACAAAAAATAAAGTTCATAATGGTAATACAGGTTATGAAATCAGTATGTAGTTTGTATCACTCTCCTGCAGAATTATTTCCCATAGTCAAGTTTTTTATTAATAACAAATATTACGAATAATGTGAATAATGTCTAGACCTTTTCTTACTCTATACGATCTTGTGATAAGAATAAGACTTAAAAAGGCTATAAGAGTAATAAGTATAATGTTCTTTATCAGTAGTTTTACCCAAATTTATATGTCATGCGGGGCTTAGAATTTCCAGATCTTGAAGATTGTTAACTTTTTCACTTTACAGAAGCAATCGTCAAATCTAAGAGGATTTAATTTACCTATAAAACAACAAAATAGATTCAGTATTTAAAGCTTATAACTAAATGAAATTGCTTTGTTAAGTGTGATCTAATATTGTATTAGGGTAATGTAATTACTAATCATGTATTTTTTCAGATCTAGATCCGAAAGATTATGAATTATAAACTCGTTTCTTATTTCAGAAGCAATAGTACTATACATCGTACTTGGGTCTGCTATATAATACGAAATAAGGCAGTATAAAATTAGCTGATTTTTATCTTGTAAGGTGGGTTACTAATAACTTTTTTCAGCTCATATATATTTTTACTTGATTTACTTGTCTGTAATTTATTTTTAATTTGCTATTTCATTTAATAGAGACTATGAAAATGAATTTACTTATCATTTTTTTTGTATTTAGATACAAAAAATGAGTAGTAATAAAAAAGCTATTCCCAAGACTAACAATAGTAACACTTCTAAGACTAATAATAGTAACATCTCTAAGACCAACAATAATAATACCTCCAAGACTAGCAAAAGTAATACCTCCAAGATCAGCAAAACTAATGCTTCCAAGACCAATAATAGAAAAGATAGTTATAGTATATAAAACCCTACTTTTTTACATATATTTGAAGTCAGAAAAAATAAAGCATATAAATGATTACTTATGTAGTAATATTTTATTTAAATTAGATGATTCGACCTATGACTCTTTAGAAGATGATGACTATAATATTGATGAAGGCAGACCCTTGAACAATCTTTCAAGAGAAAACTTAGAAAGGGAAGAGGAAAATGATGATAATGATTATAGGAATACTACTAAACAGCAAGAAATGTTAGATCAAAATTAATAAATAGTTCAACTGTGATATATTTTTTTTATTTGTATATTGTTGTTCTAGCAATATTTTTTTATCATATGAAATAAAGGGGGTCCTGTGGCCTTCCTATCTTTTATTTTAACATAATTTTTTGCAATGCAATTGCTAAGAAAAATTCTTGCTCATATGTAGTAATACAATTCTGAAATATATTTGTACAAATTAAACGCGAACTTCTACTACCCACAAGTCACTCTGGTTCATAAAAATTTTATTACGATTAAATAGTGTCAGTCAGAATTTCAAACCTTCTGCATCAAGAATTAGCATAATAGATGAAAATTTTAATTAGTATATTTCTTAACAATGCCTGCAACAAATGTTTCGTTTAATAATTTTGAACTAATGATAGTTCTATTTGCTAATACCACCCTTAAAACCATATACTGTATGCTGGTATGAACGTCCTGGGTTTGCAAGAATATTATCAAGATTAATTGGTAGATTGTTCATAATGACTATTAATTGTTGACCTGTTCCTTTTTTTTTGTCTTGTCTAATTTTTTTTTGAATTGACCTATAATTATACAAAGCAATGAAAAAATAAAAAAATAATATATACGAAAAAATAACTAGAGAATCATCCAACTTACAATGTTTTAGTAGATTTTCTACTTCTTAGTGATCATCGTCAAAATGTTTACCCTCATCATGAACAGCGAAGTAAATATCATCCAGCCTTACTATGTAAAAAAGTATTATTACTTAATTATGTTTTTACTAATAAAGTCAATATGAGAATTTATTCACTGAGTTTAACTGAAAGTTCTCCTTCGATTGCAGATATTGTTTTTCGAAAAAATATATATGCAAAAATAATGTTATTGTTTTACTCACTTTAAAAGCTGGAACTACTTATTTTTATACTATTCATTCACTAGATCTAAAAGAGAAATTACACAATTATATTACCCTAACACAATGCTGAATCCCACTTAGTAAAGGTCATAAGTTCCAAACACTGAACGTATTTTGTTATTTTTTCTGATAAAATTAACCCCCTTAGATTTGACAATCACTATTATGAAGTAAAAAAGTCAATGATCTCGATGATCTGTAAAATTTCAAATCCTTGTAACATATGAATTTTGATAAAACTACTGATTAAGAATATTATACATATTACCCTTATAGCCTTTTTAGCTTCAAAGAAGTGCCTCTCTAAGGCAAGTCTCATTCTTATCGTGGGATCGTATAAAGTAAGGCTTTCTAGATATTGTATTCATTAAAAATCAACTGTGAGAATTAATTCTGTAGAAATATAGTACAAACTATTCAAGTAACTTGTATCACGAACTTTATTTTTTATGCAATATCTTAATACTATAATAGTACGATTTATTTTTATACGTAAAATCATATATTGGGCGAATATCTACGTGAATAGCTTAGGGGCCCCTAAAAACAAATATGAGGCTAATCCTCTTCATTTATATTTTCTATACAAGAAGGTTGGCTACCTCCTATATTGGGCATACTAATATTACTATCATTTTGTGATGCAGATATATTAGAGGTTGAAGTAGTATTTGCTAAATTAGGTAAAGATAAGTATGTCACATTATCTAAATTTCTACTTACATCATTAGTGTTATAGCCTGAATTCCCATCCGCATCATTTACATTACTTACATTATCTCAATTAGTAGTTTCATCTCTTCTGGTGGGATTTCTCTAGATTGGGAATACAGATTAATCTTTTTGACTAGTTGGAGATTCACGGTGACTCATATTTATCATTGATAAAACTTCTTCATAAGTTGGTAGTGGAGTATGGTTTCGCGGTCATTCTTCACTTCTTCTCAAGGATGCGTTTACGTTATGTATTTGATCAAACTGTGTTTCTAAATTTTTTTTATACATAATTAACAAATTAATAATTTGTTTCTATTTCAAAGACACCAACAGTAAAAGCAGATGAATGTTCGAGATTAATATAGAACTTTACCTGGTCTCTCCCAAAAACATGAACAGAATTCCTTAAAGTATCGTACTTCAGTTCTGGTTCTACACCCTATATGATTTCTTGCCATATATTGGCACATCAACTAAAGAGGATCAAGAAAATTGTTAGGTTATAACCTGATTATAGTTCAATCTGTTAATAAGTGCCTTCGGTAAAAATACTTACAGTGTGATCCCTTACAAGATTTTGAAATTTACCCTTGCATTGATATCCCGTATAGTTGGTACTATATTTCTACAGAATTAATTCTCACAGTTGATTTTTAATGA